ACATTGAAATACAGGCAGACCACAGAGACATTGAAATACAGGCAGACCACAGAGACATTGAAATACAGGCAGACCACAGAGACATTGAAATACAGGCAGACCACAGAGACACAGAGACATTGAAATACAGGCAGACCACAGAGACATTGAAATATAGGCAGACCACAGAGACATTGAAATACAGGCAGACCATAGAGACATTGAAATACAGGCAGACCACAGAGACATTGAAATACAGGCAGACCACAGAGACATTGAAAAACAGGCAGACCACAGAGACATTGAAATACAGGCAGACCACAGAGACATTGAAATACAGGCAGACCACAGAGACATTGAAATACAGGCAGACCATAGAGACATTGAAATACAGGCAGACCATAGAGACATTGAAATACAGGCAGACCACAGAGACATTGAAATACAGGCAGACCACAGAGACATTGAAATACAGGCAGACCACAGAGACATTGAAATACAGGCAGACCGAAAACTCATGGAGACTGGAACTAGAGAGTGAAGTTAAAAAAAGCTGGGAAAGAGATGGGGAGAGCTGCAAGCAATAGTGAACGATAGAACAATATGGCGTGAGTTGGTTGAGGTCCTAAGCTCCACTGGCAGAGAGAAGGAAGAAGAAGAACAATCTAAATTAGAATTGCAAGAAAAAAAAGAACCAGAACAAGAGAAAAGATGGAAGGTTTTCTTGTCTAAATGATATCATAGAGACATTAAATTACCACCACTTGGGAATCTGTGTTCTACAAGATATTGAAGCAAAATAACTCATAAACAATATTATGTCCTGGAAACGACAATAATTTGATCACATCAAGCATTGGTTAAGAAAGAACAACTACTAAAAGTCATGGTTTCCAGACAGCAGATCAGGGGTCAACCAATAAGTAGGTGGACACAGGCAGGGCTTCTGTTTCTAGGCAAACAAAATTTTCTTTAAAATTGACAGTTTTTTGAAGGTTGGTTTTGTTGTGAGTACCAGCACCTTTTTGGTTGAGTACCTTAACTGTTATTCTAGGAAAAACCTGGATGCATGACATTTCTTCTTCTTTTTTCTCTACTCCTGTAATGCCTTGCAGCATCAGCGCAGGAAGACATCTCTGGAATATGCCCTTCTATTTGCATCCTATATAGTGCTTTTCAGGGTCTTTGATATTTCTGCGGTCCGTGTTCTGTGTGGTCGACCTCCGGCTCTGTTACTGCTGTGAAACATTGCTATCTGTGGTGCCCTGTCTGTTGCCAGTCTTGTTACATGGCCTAATCACTTGATCTGTTGTCTACCAAAAAAGTTCAATATTGGTTCTATACCGGCTCTAAGCCTGATGTCATCATTCATATCTCGATCTTTCCTTCTTACACATAGCATAGTACATAAACATTTCATTTCTGCCATGACTTTTTTCCTTATATTTTCTGAAGACACTGTATTCATGTTTGACATTGATAGCATAGTGTTGGTAAGAATATTGTGTTGAACAGTGCTTCCTCTTTTAGAGTTTATTTTCACCTGCTTGAACTTCAATATGAACACTATGATAAACTTCAAGATGGCCTCAGATGAAAACCTCAGCTCTTTCAGGCCCATGCATTTTGACAGACTTGGCTCACATTAACAAATTCAAAGATTATGATACATTTCCAGGTTAGTTTCTCACTCAGAGGCTCTATGTTCTTATAGATGCTGAACAAAATTTCAAAGCAAACAAAATGGCAGAAAATTGGACCTGTAGTCCTGTACACACACAAAATATTGACTTTGTAGTTATATACAGATTGTAGCTGCAATAATTATAACTAGCTATAGGATGCAAATGCGAGTGACTATCATATCCTTTGCAAATGAAATGGGTCCTCCTGGGTTTGCCTCATCAGAACAAACAGCTGACTGCTCAGCTGCCGCTGGTGTTAATTCACCGTCTGAATCACTTTCCGAAAAATTCAAATTTGTCTTTATCACAATTAGAAAACATTTGATTGAAACAATTTCACAGCTTCAGCCACAGAAAGGTGTTTTTTTGGCCTCTGTGTGTGTTCAGAACATGGCCAGTTGAACAGAAACAAATTTCAGTCTGGAATTTCACTAACAATGAATCTGATCAGTTTGCGCCAACATGTGTGCGAGTGAAGACCTGTATACAAAGAAAAACATTTGAGTAACATTTCCTGAATACTTTAATGGTAATTCCAAACATAAGAAACGAATACAGAGCCATTTTGTGAATCCGTGTGTAAGGGACACATGCTCGACACTGACAGTGTTGTTGGGGCCAATCGGAACTTCTCAGTCAGCACTCACAGCATTGCTTGGGCTTTAAAAGAGTTGAAGGTGTGATAGAAACTACAGAAAACATGCAATTGTCTTGTAAACTGTCAGTGTTGTTAATGTTGCCAAAAGTGTTAAGCATATGACATCGCGGGTACACATGAACACGACGATGTCATAATGACAGTTTAAAGAAAGCTGCTCCACTTTTGACATGCACCAAAGAGGAGCGGTGTTCATTGATCCATTTTTTGATCAGTGAAGGGGTAAAACCTATAGAAATTCTTTGGTGAATGAAGGTGATGCAGGCTTGTCAGTCCAGTCTATCAGTTGGAGTAGGAAGTTTCACTGTAACCTAACTTCTATGACAGACTGCTCGTAATCAAGTCAGACACACTGTGTTGTGACCCAGAGTTGATTGCAGCCATTGAAGGCCTCAAAGAGGAAAACCACAGATTGACTTTGACTGAAATTGCCGCACATACTGACATCAGTCAGGGTTCAGCACCCTACTTCACTCATGATCTGCTACTGATGAAAACAAAAGAAATCAGATGTCTCTGAAGACATAAATAGACTACTAGTCAAAGCGGCCGACATTTGTTTCTAGCTAGGTTTTGCTGACGCAAATTTCCAGTTTCTGGACTGGGAGTCCAGAGGTTCCACCCTCCGACTACTGGGTTGAGCATTTGATGCAACACTGTGAGCTGTGGAATTCATGTGGCATGTTTTTTTCTGTTGTGCCTGCTTCATGTTTTTCTGAAATAAAAATGGTGAGTGGCTGATTAAGTCAAGAATGGCAAGTATTTTTTGGGCTAGTGCCGGCCTTTGTGGTTAACAAAGTGAGCTGCATTTCTAAGGTGGGGCCGTTAGTGTTGGCACATCTGACACCTGCCTTGTACATTTTTACTTTGGATGTGCCAGCTTCAAGAGTCTGCTGGGGCTGAGAAGTTTTCAAATGGGACAATGAGGGACACATGAACGCAACAGTTATAGGGTGACCCGGGCTACAGTGATCTTGGAACTTAACTAACTATTCATCTCTAAAAGTTCCCAATCAATCAGTCTTTTATAACTGTTGGTACAAGCACTTGTCCAAATATTCTTCTGATTTATTCTTTTTCTGTTCATTGATTTCCCCAGGCATTTGTTTTTGAATGCATTTAATTTTCAACTCATGTCTTTAGTGGTCCTCTTTTACGCAAAATTAAATAACCAAAAGTGTTATAGAAACATGAATAGCCAGTAACTGAAAGGAAAAGACAAACTGTATCTATCCCAGATATCCCCAGAAAGATTGAACAGGATATCTCTGACATAATTGCTACTTCTTCTTGTTAGAGAAGTACAGTATTTACCGTCTGTCTTTTTCAGATCTAGCTGGTGATAACTACATATTTGTGGGCGATGATTTACAATTGACCTGCAGTCCTTCACCGAACCAATTGGAGAATTATGGTGTCAACAATGTCAGCTTCAGTTTTTCAAAACCATTAGAGGTTATTATTGTTGCTGTTTTTGTTGTTCTTAAAATGTTGGTTATTTTGAGAAGTTCACTCAATTTAACTTGAATAATTTCAGACATAATAACAAAGCTCCATGTAAGTAGAAAGGCAGCAGACACGTTATGAGTGTACTAGTGAGCAGTCTAAGCTTTGACCTGTGTCACTGTGAGGAATTGAAGCAAATCTCAACCAGTCCGACAGCCTGCACAGTTTATTTAGCAGCTTCATCACCGTGGAGGTATGGTCACTGGCATGCAGGTTCATTTGAGACCTGAATAGAGAGAGGGTGGTCACTTATTGGATTGTGGGTTACTGGCAAGACTTTCTGACGTCAGTGTACCATCTCCATGGGGACTGTTGCAGAGCTTTCTTTCCCCTTCTCCAATCTCAGAAATCAGCAAACTAAATCCTGCCAATACCGGAACTTGACTTCTACAGAAAGGTGTATTATCTTATAACTAGTTTATGATTCACTGTGGCATAGCCGCTAGACTTTTTCCTGGTGACCTGAAGATCATGGATTCGAATCTGCATGAAGTCAGATTTTTGTTGTTGTCGAAAATGACCTTGGCTTCCAGGTTGACCTAGCCTAAAATGGGTAGCATGTAAGGTCCTGGGAAGTAAAGGTGGCTGGCACATCACCTATCCAGTGCCGGTTGGTCTATAAAAAATATGTTGAGTATCTCATTCCAGAGCATAATTGGCGGAAAATGGGTCCTTGTTTCTTTCCTTGCAGTACGTATAGAAAAACATAAAATTTTTAACTTTGGAAATGAGATGTCTGAGAAGAGCTGATGCTATACCATACAAGACATGTGCCGAAAAAGAGATGAACACAGAACACAAGGTAGACCAAGATCAAGATGGAAAGATAACATCAGAGAAACTCTGCAACAACATGATGTGTCCGTGGTCGAGGTGGCCAAAAGAGCTAGAAGCAGAACCTGATATCTCCCTTGACACCCAAAGTGGTAAAAAAGGAAGAGAAGAAGAAGAAAAAAAAGATATACAGATTTGCTGCAATTAGGTCTGTGCTGCTAAAGCTACCATGTGGTTTAGGCATATCATTGTCATCACACACAAACCTGGTATCTAGAAGAAGCTGGAGTTAAGATATAACAGAGTCGGTGGTTCATTTTTAAATGTAAATATTTTCTGTTGTTGTGTTTTCAGCAGCCTGGAAGTCAAGCTAAATGTCTACCCATGTCTTTGGTTCAAATTCATGATAACCAGCAGGGTGCTACGCTGGTTGTCCCTAATGTGACACTTGATGCTGCCGGTCAGTACAATTGCCATATTTGGAAACAGCAGTGTCATGAGGTTCAGAATATACAGGATTTGGAAAATGCAGGCGTTGGTGAAGTCCGTGTTGAGTGTGAGTATATTTCCCATTGAAATTGTTTCTTTGTTTCTTTCTTTCTTGCTTGCCTTCTTATCTGATCGATTTTCAAGGGGCAGGAGAAAAGACAAGCAGACTTTGATCAGGTTGTAGCTGATATCTTCAGTGTGGGAACTGTTTGTTGGTTACAGAGGATTGGAATTGTTGGAGTGCACCAGGTGCAGTGACCTAATCCTTCCTTCCTTCCTTCCTTCCTTCCTTCCTTCCTTCCTTCCTTCCTTCCTTCCTTCCTTCCTTCCTTCCTTCCTTCCTTCCTTCCTTCCTTCCTTCCTTCCTTCCTTCCTTCCTTCCTTCCTTCCTTCCTTCCTTCCTTCCTTCCTTCCTTCCTTCCTTCCTTCCTTCCTTCCTTCCTTCCTTCCTTCCTTCCTTCCTTCCTTCCTTCCTTCCTTCCTTCCTTCCTTCCTTCCTTCCTTCCTTCCTTCCCTCCCTCCCTCCTTCTTTCCTTTCTTTTTTTCTTTTCTCGAACTTTATTTCTTCCATCTTTTTCTATTGTATTCAGCATATTTAATGTTCTTTTCAATTAAAATATTAATAATGTAAACAATTGTATTTATCCTCAGATCGTCCATATAATGTTAGCCAGTTTGTCTGTGTTTTCTACAATTGGAATGACTCCATGAATTGTACCTGGCAGCACCCTGTTGATTACAGTAACTGGTCTAACATTAACATCAGTGTGGTGTACACCATCAGTTCAAGACACCAGTACGTGCCTAGATGTTTTTGTGTTTAACCCTCTTGTCCTGAGGAGCAGCGAATCCACCATTTTTGACTGTGACTCCAGTAACTGGCATTTCTGCTATGGCCTGTTCTGTAGAAGCTTGATTATGTTCTGTTTGCTCCGGAACTATGTTTAGGAGGCCTGGATATGAATATATTTACTTTAAATAGCATGTGTGGCTTAGGCGTTGCAAACACACTTTGTAATGCTGGGGTGCTGGGTTTGATCTCAGCTGCGGACAATTAGTCTTGCTTAGGTTTTGACCGTGGTACAGAGTGCTGAATGTTCAGACAGCAGTGGCAAACTACTGAACATAAAATTTGCCTAGAAAACCCACAACAGCTAGAAAATGTTGGAGTTAGTTCACCAACGTCTTGTAGAGGATACACAGCTAGCCTATTAAAAGCATTTAGGTTTTTGAAAATGTGAACAAAATGGCTTTATTAAGATAATTATGACATTATAATTAACCCATCGCCTTAGTGTTAGAATTCTGACGAGGCCAGGCTATGAGTCACCCAGATCATTTTTTTAGGCTCCTGGGGAATCTTTCCTATTTATTGCTCCACCTTTATTGCTTCTTGTTTACTCATTTCTCTCTTATTATATTTTTAAAAATTTCCCCAAATACTGATACATAAAAAAAAAAAATTATGACTGACCTGTATCAAATGGTTGTTTTGTAAAGGGTTCTTTGGGGAGGGGTGGAATTCCCACAGGTTTCTGCCTTTTTTTGAGAGAACATTTGTTTACCCAGCTATGCACTGCTTTACGGGATAAACATTTGTCAGCTTCAACAAAAAGCATTTCCTTATGAATGTCCTTTGCTGGCAGCCCTTTAGCCAAGGAGTAATGTGTTTTTATTTACATTTTAGATTTGGTTAAACTATACTCTGGAAATCTGGCTGCCCAAGTGGCCTCTAGTTTGTCCCATTTGGGACTTGCTGCCATGTCTTCTGCTGCTGAAAGAGTTATATTCATACATATTCATGTGAACTCACTACAAATGACCTTACTCTCTTGACATACTCCTGCAAGTGATTCAGCAGCAGCAGCAGCAGAGAAAAGAATTCCAGATTGTCTTAGACGTGTTGATTGTAATCATGTCTTCTCTTGGTCTGCAGCCCCGTCTCAGCCTTTAGATGTCCTCACCTCACTTACCATGGCTGCACATTCATGAACACCGAGTCTTTTTTGGTGGAGAACTATGTGATAGAAGTCAATGTCACCAACACAGTCGAAAACATCACAGCATCGAAAGTCTTTTCTGTCAGTGCCTATAAATCAGGTAAGAGTGTGTCCAAGGAACTCATGTCATGTAAGAAAATATTAATTAATTAATTAATGCTAAGGTATGATTAGTGCTTTAACTTTTCTTCTGACCCAGACACACTATGCTTGACCGAGTATTATTCACATATACTAATCAGCATGTTATGTATGTTTTTACATCCAATGTTTAGTGAATGACTCTCACAACATGTTTGTTTCCTGCAAGGGTTGTATATTTAGTCCCTGAGGAAATAGTATACCCATCATTCTAATATTGCCATTCTGAACTGTCTCGGACATTTGGTAAGACCCTGTGGGACTAAAAGAGTTAAGTACCAGATAATTCATCTCTTGTTCATTGGTGAATCCAAGGACCAGTAGTACAGCAGTCTTGACTCTCATCTATCATAGATATTTGCTCTATTAACTCATACTATCCTGCTGGTTAGTTTAGTTCCTTCTGTCCCATAATGTTATTTTTTAACTTCATCGGACTCGTGCAGTGGCTGCTTTATGCTAGGATTGCTCGAGATAACGCTATAAGCAGCTTCTTAAACTGCTGCTAAATCTTTTGGCATTAGGACAGAAACATGTTGGGCGGTTGCACAAGACTGACCTGGTTGGCATACAGCCATTTACCATTGTGCCTGAGCCTGCCAGGCAGCAGAGGTTGCATTGGTGAGGAAGGAATGAAGACTACAAAGAACAGTGAAGCAAATTCCAGCTCTGCTGCCTTCATGTACATAGGGTATTCTGACTGTAGGGTCAGGACATTTGATGTATTTGGCTTTAACTATTGCTCAGATATGGGGCTACATGTAATGATTTGGTAGTGCATGATTAGGAAGCATGTTTAACGTCTTTTTATTAATGTAAGCGGTGCTGATCAGGGCTGAGTGTTTATTTATATATATATGTAGGTTGGTGCCCTTCTAACATTCTTCAACAAAATGAAGCTCATTTTGGCCCCTCCAGAAAAAGTTTTTTTGGGGTCCCCCAACCTCTTCAAGTTGTGCACAGGGCATCTGCCTTACCAGCCATACCCTGGGTACAGCTATGATTCCATTGCTTTCAACTGGTGTTTGCACTCCCAAGAACTTTCCACACTCAGATTGGACTTATCAGTCATCTTCAGGTAATCCAAGTTTGAAGTTCACAGCAAATGGGTCACTCCATAGTTGATCCATTCCTGTGTCAATGAAAACCACACAGAATGTTCATCACTGTTGCTTCATGAAAAAACTGACACAGACTGCAGCCTCAATAAAGCTAATATCATACATACACATCAAATTTATAAGGTTACCATCAGAAGTACCAATGCAAACAGTCTGGCACTAGAAATAGAATTCACTGTTGATGGAAGCAGCAATTACAACAGTAGGGGTCATGCAATTAATTACATAAGGCACACCCACTTCTCTGGCAACAGGCTACTCGCTATTTTAGAAATGCAGTTCACAACACAAACCACATCAAGCACAGTGGAAAAAGAAATAAAATCCGCAGTTCACAGTGTCGCACCATGCATTCAGCTCAGTAGCTAGGCATTTTTCAGTCTAAATATAGAGATACATGCAACGGCTAACTTTTTAAAAGCAAAAACATGTCATAACTAAAAACAGTAAGCCTGCTTACCTGCTATATTGACTAGAAATTAATCTGCGTACTCACAGTCATTGATCATGCTAACTGGTCTTCATCACTTGTGATGGAGAACAACACAGATAGACTTGAGACATAAAATACTTAACTGGCATGTCAGAGGGTGTCCTTTTTCTATTGTTTCATAATGCTCAGTGAAGCCTGCACCAGTTATAAACCTGTCAGCCCAGCCTATGCCAGGTTGCATCAGTTTGTCATGGCAACATTCTAAGAATTATGAGAAAATTTGCAGAATCAGGCATCACAATATAGGAGACAATAATGTTGAGGTATGATTTTATAGTGTGATGTATTTATATTCTTCTTCTGCTGCTGCTGCTGCTGCTCATGTTCTCTTGTGGCTTACAGCTAGGCAGTGATATATGGACCTTTAGGATTAACATGATTTCCAAATAAATGAAATCATGGAGTCCATATGGGATTAACATTGTTTTATTCTCTCTGTACACTTTTGTTCTAAAAATGTGATGTATAGTAAATATAAAACCTTTAATGTGATGTAATTAGAATATAAAACCTAAGATGTTTTGCATGGTGATTGTGAACCCTTAAATTGGAAATGTGATCTCTGCTAAGTTAGCCACTGGTGACAGCTCAGATTGACATTCTATCAGAACTCATGTGTAACATGTCCGCTTGTCGGTTCAGGGGCCTCCATTTTGGGGGAAAAAAGAATAGACTCGAAGTCCCCCTCCAACTGGCATGAATTGTTCAAGGCAGCTAATGATGTTTTGAGCTTGAATGCTATAGAAGAAGATATGTAATGTGTTACTTAACTTTAAACTTGATGTGTGACAGGTTCAAAACTCAAATGTGATGGATATTATAACTCAAATTTGCCGTGTCATCAGTTTTCATATGACTTGTGATCGTTATTTCCTCTGCTCTTAAATACACACGTATAACTTTTTTTGGGGGACAGATGACAGACTATTTCAGGTAATCTGGTATGAGTTAATCATAGAAAACGAATCACCCCCGTAGCATAGTAGCTGCATTCCCGTGCCAGAGAAAACCATACAGAATGTCCATCACTGTCCCTTGTGAAAGATAACTGGCACATAGTCTCAGCAAAACAGTAACATACACATGCATTTACTGCATTAGGCAGGCATCAGATGTGTCAACACACACAGTCCGGCTCTACAAATGCAATTCATCGTCAATGGAAGCAGAAGTCTCTTTCAGGTTTATTTTATCACCATACAGTTTCCTCTCTTTCATAGAACCTACAGTTTGAACAATGTATTCTACAGTGATTTTCTACTCCATATGGACATATAATTGTATTTTCAGTCTTCATTTTCTTCATCAGCTGGTGCTTGAACCAACCTTTTCCTGTTCTGAATCCTGATATCTTCTTCTTTTTGTGCTCCCCCTTCAGAGAACGGCAAGTTGTGTTGTGATTTACTTAGTTAGTTAGTTAGTTGGGTTATCATCATTACACTCCGGACATGTCCATAGGTGCTCAGATCCTCCCCTCAGTATGAACCCCAATGTCCGATGGCTAATAGTACCAGTTCTATGTTGATTAACAAGTCTTCTGGTGTGTCTGGTGTGCGTCTCATTTTTTGCTATGCCGAACTTAATTCCCAAGTCTGCCATTCTGGCGAGTGATGTGGATTCACCGCCCCAAAAGTTGTGATTTACTACTAGGCTGTGATATCTCTGCCTTCTGATCCAACACATTGTATTTCAATAAATACTACTTAATTGCCTTTTATGACATGCTTGTTAGGGGTTAGTGGGTCAGTTCTTTTCTCCCAAAATGTGCAACAGCACATAGGTAACGTTCTGATTTTAGCGGCTGGCCACCTAGTATTGAAATATGATTCTGTTAAAAAAGGGACAAAGTCCGCAATCAGACAATACATCAAGATCTTGATACCCAATCCTTACAAACCCGAGCGGATCAGTCACAGCTACAATAGTTTGGACATGTATGCAGAATGGGAGAAAATCGGCCACCATGGCAGGCATGGGAGGCTAAGAACCAGGGAACCTCCAGGGTGACCCAGAGTTTGCAGGGAATACAACATCCTACAGTTCCAAACTAACAGAGGACTAAAATGGAACAAATCCAGAAATAAAACTGCAAAAAGAGACATTTGGCAATCTCTCTGGCAAACCTCTACATCCCAAGGTAGAATAGGAGAGACTAAGTAAGTAAGTATGATTCTGTTATATCTATTGCATCATTTATGTTTAAAACCCAATATCATAATACTTGGTACATCTGCATAAATGCCCATTCCTATCTTCAGCAGCCAGCACGGACTTACAGTTCTAATAGTGCCAGAAACAGTATTTTGTTTAGATTATATAAGTAATTGGAGCTTGTTTACTTTGTTCTATAGTCTTTAAAACACATAATTGCAGTGATTTATTTTGAAGCCAACCACAACTTCAGGAATAAAAAAATAAATAAAAGACAGACCTGGCCTGCCGGTTTGATGCAGTCTAAAAACGAGAAGTAGTCAATGTACTGGGAAGAAAAGGTGTAGCTGTATGATCTATTTTAATTTGCTAATTTTTTGACATTTCAAAATTTCATGACCACCCATTGGTCCTCTGATGTACTCTTTGGTGCTGAAAGAGTTGTCCTTTGCCAGCCGTTGCAGCTCACATCATGTTATCTATATCTCCTTTACCTGGTCTCTGATTCACTTCTCTCTGTGTTTTGTCTCCCTTTATTTTTGATAGGCTATCACACTGCAGGACATAAAATATCACCCTTTTTTTAAAAATCTAGCTTCACACTAGGGTCTCTCTCTCCCCATGTTAGTTCTGGGGCCTCAATTTGGGGAACAGGGAATAGAACCACTGCCTCCCAGAAAAGCATATAAAAAAGGTGATTCATTAAGAGTGTTTTAAGAGAGTGCATCTGCTGGAGAAGCAAGGAACCAACAGTCTGCACACAAATGAACTAGGCCTCTAAAACAGGTGTGCACACAGAACTCAAATTCTAGAATAGCACCAAAGGCAACAAGTTGATAAATAATCAGAACTTTCTGCCAGAGTTTACACCTGGTGAATGCTAAGAAGTCTAGAATATCAGTAGTGTTTTTAACTCCTAACCTGCACAGTTCATGGTGTCAGCACTAGCCAGGTGGCCCTAAATCCTCAATCTCACAACCCCCCTGTCTACACCCCTCTAAAAAAGTGGTCAAACAGACAGAAGTGACAGTGACAGTTACATTACCTTTGACTTGTAATTAACACATCACATTGGATAACTGTGTTTCAGGTTGTGAATGACAACATCAATCATACACACTTTACACAGTGTGGTTACCCGTCATACACACATCACAACTTCTCTGTGGACTGCTACCCTGCTGGGATATATTCCGGCTACTGGAGTGACCCAGTCTACATTGATGCTTGGACTCCTATGACAGGTCTGCCAGTCCTTAAATAACTGCAAGAACTGTTATATTGCATGTATATGTCTATATAAATTTAGGCGTTCAAAATAATTGTTAACCCTTCTTTGCTAGTCCATCATTCCGTCCATTCCTCATCACCTTGAAGTCACTGGAACAGCATTGCTGCATTGTCCGGTCCCTGACAAGCGTGGGTAATGGCATTGGTTCTTTTTGCACCTGTGCAGTGTTAAGGAGGGCCGAGGTATAGTTATATTTACTGAAAATAGCATGGAAAAGGGGGTGGGATATTGTGGAAAAAAGGTATGTGTTAAAAAAAAATATTGCGAGCTTTGTAATGCTGGTGTGCCGGGTTCAATCCCAGCTGTGGACGACGGTTTGTCTTGCGTTGGTTTTGACAGTGATACCGAGAGCTGACAGTTCAGTAAGCAATGGCAAACTACTGAACGTAAAATTTGCCTGGAAAACCCCAACAGCTAAAAAAAAATGCCGAGTTTGGTTTTGCAACGTGCTATAAAGGTTATGCAACTATCTTATAATGTCATCGTAATGGTTATGTAAATATAAATTATAAATACATTTTTTTTCTTTCGTCTATATGCTGCTACAATTATTTGTTTAAAAGCCTGGACAGTTTATAGAATGTCTCCCTTTGTGGAGACATTTATAGCATAACTGATTATAATAATAGGCAGCTTAGAAATTCAGTTAGAAATAATCTGTATAATACAATAAATTATAATTATTTTGAGGATATCATTAGGGTGGAGGATATAAAACATATATTGCAAAAAACAAACGACACTGTGCCGGGGCCAAACAGAGTCAGGTATGCCCACATGAAAAGTATGAGTGATGATGACTTGAGGGAGATGGCTTTTTACTTCAACCAGAGCATCAGAACAGCTTCATTACCCCAGGAAAGGGTACACAGCTACCTCATTCCACTTCCAATACCAGGCAAAGATCAGTCCAGACTCAGCGGTTTCAGGATTATCACCCTACAAAATACTTTTGGCAAGGTGCTAGAGAAGATTATTGCTATCAAACTACAAATGTTTTTTGAAACAGAAGAGCTCCTGCCAAAAGGATTGGGTAGTTACCGGCCACAGAAAGATACCTGGTCAAATGCAGCAACTTTTGCTTTTGATGTTTATGAGGGATTCCAGAACAGACAGGAGGCAATTGTTGCAGCACTTGATCTTGAGGAAGCCTACAATAGAGTCGAATATGATATTTTAATTTCTGCGCTCATGGAGAAGGGGGTTTGTCCATGATTTGTGAATTGGATAGCAGCTGTCTTGCATTCACGTATGGTTGCCTGTCATCTGGGTACATGGACCTCAGAATCATGTAATATCACCCCTGGGACTACGCCATGCTTCTGCAATTTCACCAGTGCTTATTAATGTGTATACAAGCAAGTTTGCAGAACTTGAATCACAATGTGTTGGAAGGATATTGTATTTGCCGATCATGTTCTTGCATATAGGCAATGGAGAGATAGGCGACAAAGTGACTGACTGGTGTGCAGAAATGGGTGCTGTCATCAACTCAGAAAAGGCAACTGTTTTGTGGTGCTCTCTGGACAATAACCTCACTGTTATTGTAACAGTAACATCAAAAGAGAACGCAAACTGAGGTACCTGGGTTTCATTTTCGATAGAAATCTGTCCTTCAGGGATCATGTGGAAGCAGCTGCGGTGAAATGCCAAAAAGGACTCAGTGCTCTAAAGATTATGGCAGCAATGAACATGGATACAAAGAATGTTGTTCACAATGTTCCAGCATGTGATCCTGTCGGTGATAGATTGTGGACATGGTATGCTTACCATATCAGAGAGTCAGCTGATGAAACTTGAATGCATACAGAATGAAGCCATGCGAGTAATTCTGGAATGTACAAGAGATACCCCAGTAGTATGTATGCGATTTATACTTGCACTGCCTACTATTGCAGATAAGCTCAAAGTTCTGCAAGCAAAGTCAAATCTGAGAGTAGCTGCGGACAAGAGGGACCTCCTGCTTGAAGCCCTGGATAGAGCTAAGGGTCACAGACTGAAAAGAGGAAAATCTTGGACGGCGCAAGCTGATGACACAATTGGACCTGTGTGCAGGCTTGATAAATTTAGGCAAGGAGAGGCATGGATCAAAATGTCTGATCAGGTTTCAGACTTATGTAGGGTTACCTAGGGTTCTGATCACTTTAAAACATGAGTCATGAGTGCAGGGACTGGCCAGCTGGTACTGCAGAATCAGAAGTTCAACAAATGATTCATGAAAATTCCCACCCAGGTGATTGCATGTTTGTCTATACAGATGGCTCTGTGTTGAGGGGCAGATGAAGTAAAAAGGGGTTCAAAGCAAAGGCAAATTAACATCACTTGGTGCAACAGGGCCTGGCATATGATAGCACAACGTCTAGTTTGAGAATGGAGATGGATGCAGTCACTACTGCCTTCGGCTGGCTTGAGAATCAGCTGTACACACATGCTGTCATTGTAACTGACTCACAGAACATGCTGAGAAAGGTGGAGAGTGGCAGGCTCCATGCAGAGTGGCAGGCTCCGTGCAGAGTGGCAAGCATCACTTCAAAGGTCCCTAGTAGTTAGCATCCTTTAGATATTTTCTCCAGTTATGCTGGTGTGTTGGGAAATAAGCAGTCAGAGAGACTGGCTGGTTCTGCACCACTTGGTGGTGAACTGATTATGACAAGCTTTATGTTGTGAGGGTTCTTTGATAGCGAATGAACAGTGCTGAGGCACAGATAGACCATTACAGTCTGAGGAGAATGGCACTGTGAGGAGTTACAAGGGGATCAGGCTGATGCTCACCACGCGGGGAAAAGGCAAGACGGATTTACAATCAGGCAGTTACTGGTACCACAGGAATTTTAACTCTTCGCTTGTTGCTGAAGATGGGGATAGAGCGCTTTTTAGGGTTTCCCCGATTGCAGTGATGTCGATTCATAATTCAACATTCAACATTTCCCCTTGTGGATTTTGGTGTTCCATTGTAAGGAGATTAAGAATAGACACATTGCTTCCACAACAAGCATTTTGTAGGAGTCGACTAACTGAGACATCTTTCAGAGTTGAGAGTCATCTGCCTGAGAGGCAGGGAACCAACAGTCTGCATGTAAATAAGCCAGATATGTAAAATGGATGTGCATGCTGTTCAGGAGTCTAAATCCAGAGGTGGACGAACATCCAGAATTTTCTACCCAATTTTACATCCGGTGAATGCAAAAGAAAAGAAGAAGAGAGAGAAGAGAGTTGATTAAAACTTGTTCGTTAGGAGGGTTGTCATATACCTTTTCTTGTACCTTAAGTTATTCCAGTAATTATAAGTAAAACTTCTTTATAAATGTTTTGTTTTTTCATTGAAAAATAAATTGGTTGCAACTCTTTGCTTCTTATTGTTTTATTTAATGGTTGTTTATTTGCAAGTCATGTGCACTTTTTGTTGCCATCTAGAAATATTTCATCTGAGAAAAGAATGCATGGTTTATTGAAACATAAAAGATTCAATTTTTTGTTTTTTCCTTGTTAAACATTTTATATGTAAATTAACAATATGCTGCAGACTGCAGTATTTGGCCTAATGTGGCGAAAGGGTAGACTGAAAAGCAGAAAAGTCAAATATGCTGGAATTGTATAAATACCTATTTCTACCCCACCTAAATTGTTAAAACAGTCTTTTAATACCAAAACCTGCCGTTATTAATATTTTCTGACCTCTTAGTACATACAGGCCAGTACTTTAGAAGCATTTATTGTCTATTGTACTCTACGTTTTAAATGGAAAAAGGAAGTCCAAAAATAAAAATATTGCTCACATTAAAAGATACATTTTTTTGTCAAGCTTTAGTTAGACCACTCTACCGCTTTTCAGGTAATTTCCTAATCTGCCACTAAACCGCTGTACCTTTTTTTCGGTACTTTGTGTCCACGTGATAAAACGCATCACAAACTAAAAATAACCAACCAATCGTAATCAAACATCGTGGTTAGTCATTGCAAATGACTGCCCACGTGTTTATATTTACTTTGTGTGGTTTCATGTGAAAAGATTATGAAAACTTACAATGAACAGCGGCTGATGAACCAGCCACTTCAACAGGAAAGTGAAGTTGGTCTAGGCTTTTCACAGTCCAACAGGTGATCGATACTTTGGTTGATTCAGACTCTGAGGAGTTAGAATTTCATGAAGAATATGTTCTCAGTTGAAGTGACACAGTCAGTGAGAGCTCGAGTGATAAGGAGAATCTTGGAAATTATAGATTTAAAACAAGATCGAGGGGGCATGTCCCTCAAACAGCAACACCTGGTGCTCGCTTTTTGAAACAAGGCTGATCCTGCTCGGTGGATTAGCACACAAAGGTGGAACATTGGCGCTAAGTGAAAGGTGAACCAATTTTCTACAATGTCTCCAAGTTTCAATTTATTCTAACCACTTGTTTGCATGTAACTAATATTTTTGTATATCATTTTTGTTTTTTTCATGTTAATGCTCAGAAGCTAAGGTATAGGGAGCAGTTAGGTTCAGGGCCTCAGGTCTGGTTGGGTTAACTGCAGAAAGAATAAAACCGTGCATGGTACAGTATGGATACACAGTTTTTTAAGATGAACAAAACATTAACGTAAAACATAATTTTTTTTTAAAAACAGAAATTACACTTTTTTCTTATAACTGGTAATTGATAAGTAGTAATTTCAAAAATAGGAACAGGTTGGCTTGAGATGAAAGAGTTCGAACTTACAGTGTTTTGTTTTTGAAAAAAGTCTTTGATAGATGATTTTGCCCTCTTCCTCGCAGCAGTCTCTCCCCACTTATGCAAGCGGTTTATCTCAGCTGCTGTGGCTTCTTCCTGCTCACTAATATACTGCAGAGCCGTCTCAATCTACTTGAACCCTTCCAGATGTAGGATAACATGTGTCCTGTCATCTTCGGATACCTCCTGCCCATCCTTCTCTGTAGTGCCCCCCCCTGTTTCATCATTTCCACAATATCATTGCCAGTTTTCTTAGTGACTCGGTCAATATGCTTAAAAAAATCCAAGCTGGATTTATCAGGCAAGAATGGATTGAAACACTAAGCACTTCACAAATATCTGCCCTAACCTTCATCTTTGTGTCAGTTCATGCGGGTGTTCAAGGAAATTAGCCTGCAGACTATCTTGCTTACACTGACTGGCCCAGTATTAGACACAAGTGATGTTATCAATGCTATTCGCTGCACTTACTGTACCGAGGAGCACACAAAGGACATGACTCCATAACCCTGTCTAGACTGATGGACATGGGGGTGCAGCCTGGAGGTGCAAGAAATGAAAATTTCACTAAGAGGACAAGACATTTTATTAACCAACACAGAACAGGCGTCATCAGTCGTTTTACTCTTGTGGAGGTTTTGAGGAGGAGATCAGAGCACCTATGGATCTGTCCGCAGTGCTGTGATGATAATCCTTTCTAATTGCTAATCACTGCCAGTTATTTCCTCAAGTTTGTTGATTTGTATCTATTTTGTAATGTCATATGTACTGATATTTTACTTTTTTTCATTACCAATGATGATTTTAAAACAAAAGTTAAGTCAGATAATATGGAATATTGTGTATACACATGTACCCATGGAATATATGTATACATAGTATGGTGTGAAAATGAGAGGTCGCCTACGCTAGAACATAGATTGATAACATTACAAACATTCTAATCGACACATAATAACAAATGTGTGGTCAGAAAAAGTGCTGTTGAGACAGTTAAATTGATAAGACAAGTTTCTGACTGTCAGTGTTTATCTTATGTAGGTATACAGATATTCAGGTGGTATTCTTAATGTCCATTTTTGTTCATAATTATAAACTCATTGCCAAAGTCAGAGAACAGTTACACAAACAGCAGTATCTGACCGAGAATGATGGTAGATGAATTTGATGTTGAATGTGGTAAACATTGATGCATAGAAACTTATATCATCAATTCAGTTGTCAGAAGAGCACTTTTCTGAATTGAAAACGTTTTACTGGTCATGCTTTGCTCCTTGCTGCGTATGTAATCACACAGTTTTTACTTGTGAGCAAAATACAGTTACTTGTCTGCTGACTGGGCAGAGTTACAGTTTTTGCCAGATCATAGATGAATGTTGCTTGACTGGATGGCATGCTTTGCTTTATGGATTAGTTTTTTTTTTCTTGGCCATAATACAATCGAGCTAATTATTTTAATTGCTAGACTATGTCTTTGTTTGTGCATATGTATATATTTATATTTACATATATAGGTGTGTAAAAATAGGTAAACATACACGCACACACACACACACACACTCACAGAAATATATATATATATATATATATATATATATATATATATATATATATATATATATATCTGGATATGCATAATTAATCATTTATCTGTTGGAAAGTTAGGTAACAATATCATCCACAATACATTTCGCCACGACAGCTCCAAATGTAGGACCCACAACTGTAAATGGAAGTTACACCTCCACCAAGTGCATGAATGGCTACAGAAATGTTACCCTGATGTGGCAGGTAATATATTTTTGCAGTTTTTATTTATATATCCTTTGACATTGTCAAGGAGCTAATTAAAATTGTCAAGGAGCTAATTCAACAGCCAGTCTTTCCTGTTAACAGTTGTTCTTCTTTTGTTGTCTCAGTGATACCAGATTGTAGCACTGTATCGTGGCTTTCTGTATTAGTCTTGCGCTTCAGGGGTGGCTTGGGTGATGGATTTATCTTTTTACAAGTTTGATCTACACCTTTTGTCTATCTGTTTCTTTGTCTTCCCTGCTTCTCTGTCCCAGATATTTGTTCTGCTGTAAAAGATCTCATATGCAGTTTGATCTGGCCGCATTCTCAATACATGGTTGAACCATTTCATTCTTTATCAGTATAATTCAGATACAGTCTTATTCCAACTTTCTCTCTGATGATGGTACAATTATTTATACAGCTGGTTCTGTGTTGAGAAGCGAAAGAAATGCAGTGAGGTTCATAGGTAAGCTAATGGTCGATGTTGATGCAGGACAGCCTAGCAAATGATGCCACATAATCTAGCTTAAGAATGGAGGTGAAAACAGTTTTATGTTCACGCTTAAGAGGCGGTCACTGCAGTTATCCCCTAGCTAGAGAACACGATACATACACACATCATGATTGTAGCTGACTCAGAAAGTATGCTGAGGAAGGTGAGGTCAGGTAAGCTTCATCCAGAGGGGCACGCTTTGCATCGGAGGTCACGGGTTAAGAGCATTGTCTGGATTCTTTCTAGGGTGTGTTGGGAAATAAACAGGGGGACAGGTTGGCTGGCTTTATACTGATTCATGATAAAGCAGATGTGGTTAAGGCCTAATGGGAGCAAATGAATCATCATAGTCTGGTGAGAGTGTTGCACTGGAGAGTGACTAGGGAATCAGGCTGATACTCAGTGCTGAGAGTAAAGGCAAGACAAACCTATTGTCAGTGTGCTTCTGGTACTGTTGGTATTGAAACTTTGCATTGGCTGCTGAAGATGGGGACATACCATTTGTGGGAATGCTCTGAGTGCTGTGGTGTCAGTTCTTGAATCAACAGTACCCAATTTTCTCACTAATGCTGGTATTCATAACCCTGTCATTTATATTTGTTAGTGACCCTAACGTAGACAGCATATTTCACATGTAGTAATTTTTATATGTTATTTTCCATATTTTGCACTGATAGCATATAAAGTAGGAATGAAGATGCTATTAATCATTTGCTGTTTTGCTGAAGGGGAGACATTTGGATGTCTAAGCTAAGGGAATAGTTAGTAGCATTTGCCTTCTATCCTCTTCTGTCGAGTTTGCCATCTTCTGTAAACACCTTTACTTACCTTTATTTCTACATGTTCTTTTTTTTCTTCTTTCTGTTATTAGTCGAGGTTCCATGGCTGGAGACAGGTCACCCCATCACCACTCAGTTTCTATGCCAGTGGAAATCACACAAAATGTCCTTCACCATCCCATTTGAAAACTAGATAAATACTTGTCAGCCCCAGCAAAATCTTGATGCCTGCACACCCAAAGTAGGAGTGCATAAGGCAGCGGTTGTGGTAAACGGTCAGTCATGAGAGCAGGCATTGCACCAGCATTTTAGATGTAATCAGCCGCCTGCCATTTTGTGCTGCAGGCACAACAACAACAGAAATTCTACATGAAATCCACAGCTCACAGTGTCACACAAAGCACTCAGCTCAGTAGCTGGACAATGGAACCTTCAGAGTCCCAATCCAGAAATGGGAATTTGTCTTCAGCAAAACTTGGCTGTGTTGAATGTTGAATTAAGAATCAACATCATAGCACTCAGGACACCCCCAGAAGCGCTCCGTCTTCCATCTTCAGCAGCAAACGAAGAGTTCCAATTCCGATGGCACCAGTAACTGTCTGATTATATATCCGTCTCGCCTTTCCCTTTAGTGTTAAGCGCTGACTAGATCCCCTGGTAACTCCTCGCAGCGCCATTCTCCTTGGACCGTAATGATAAACCCAGCTAAAAACAAATAATTTTTCAGAGCAGCAGTGGTCAGCTTGCCGTGTGCCATTCATTTTTGTGGTGCTCTATAGCTTTTTGTGTTACTTGATGATCTGGTGCTAATTAGTTCAAATCTCTTTTGAGGTGGATTTTCAAAATTGACTTTTGCTCCTAGAGTAGTTGAACCAGCCTAAAATCAAAATAGTTAAAAAGTCTGCTGTCAGATTGACTGCAGCTGGAATCGAACTGTGTACCTGGGCAATTGTACTGAATATTTTCTTGGCTTGGTCACCCAGGAGCCCACAGTTGTAAAAATGTGCCTTAGTGAAGATTCACATCGATGACGACTGTGTCAGTCAATTTGAGTAGTGTTTTAGAAACTAGGCAGTTATTGATAAAGAAGATAAAATCAAAACTATACAGTAGAGAAGATCATTTAGACGATGTAACAAAGTGGTAAGATGACAGGAAATTAGCATTTTTTCTATAAGGGTTTCAGAGGATCAAAGGGGACATTGAAAATTTACATTCTTGTTTCTTTTGTTTGATGTTCATTTTATCAAACTGTTTTCTTGTCTCTTACATCCTAATATATGACAGAAAGTTGAGGAATCTCAAAGGAATGGGATCATTGACAGTTACTTAATCAAGCTGGGTGACAAACATTTAAAAAGGGTCAAGTCAGATGTTCATTTGACAGTTGTGGAACTTCCGTGTGGTTCAACTTCCCAGCTGGCAATATCAGCCCATAATAAGGAAGGGTACTCTGTGAAACCAAGTATTATGGTTATCCCCCCGAAAACATTTGTTGGTAAGTAATGATTATATTTTCCAAGTGTTTCTGATCCTTAACAAGATCTTTAAAAAGTGATACTAAACCTTACTGGCTAAAGTGACTAAAGCAATTTTAGTGTGTACTTTTAGTGAAATAATAATTCTGATCTTCAATAGAATGTGTCAGCTCATTTCTGCTTTTCATTACTATTCTGAGTACAGTGCATGACACGACACTGTGAGTGGTGAACTGTATATGGAATGCTTTTTGAATGTACCCAACATGGTTTATGTTGTGAACTTTCTGCTGAGTCTCAGGTGGCACCAAGAGCTTGCAGACCCCCCCCCCCCTTCTCTCCCCCCCCCCCCCCCCCTCGGCTGGATCATTCTCTCCAGATACAGCTTTTCAGTAACTTCCATTTTACTTGTTACCTCATCCTACAGGTGAGAGGACACTTTGCAGTACACCCACAAGTAGACTAGTCCAGCCAAGCTGTCACTCAAAAACAATATCCATGTGACTCTCACCACCTGTGACCTCTGAATTTATGCGACCCATCCCATATGAAGAAAGCACGTTTTGTGTTTTGTGGGTCCGAACTGTGACAGGATGTGTGGTTGAGATCTTCTCCACCTGATGGAACCCTGCTGTTACCGACTCAACTTGTATTCTCATATAACTTGTATAAAGATGTCCAGATCTGGCAAAAAACAACCCCAGCAGTATTAGTTATGTTTACACTATTTTCATTTTACAAAACAGTGCCAAAGAGCATTACTGAATCATTTGTGGTGGAGATTTCAGCCAACTCAAGCTCAGAACATTCAGAGTCACTCCGTGCTGTATGGAACATGACTGAAGATACAACACATGTGAACTACACTATCTTCTGGTGTTTAGGCCTGCCAGGGGACACATGTGAGGTTGGTTGTGTGTTATTGTGTTTTAATTAAATACATCTTTGAGTATTCACTTGATTTAAAAACACCAAGACTCTTAGAACTTATAAACCTTTCTTCTTCTTCATGTTCACTGGCAGTAAATTCTGGCGGAAGGATCTGGTTGTTCATCCACTTCTGGACTTTGGGCTCGTTCCAGAACCTGATTTTTGCGTACAGATCCTATTTACAGATCTGCTTATTTGAACGCAGACTGTTGGTTCCTGCCCTCTAAGGCAGATGCAGTCTGACTTAAGAATTAGGGAAACATCCCTAATTAATCGACTCTTATGACTATAGTGCCCTGGAACCCACACAGGGAACTGTATAAACTAAAAGTGAGGCAGTAATTTTAAGTTTTTAGTATCAATTCATTTATTTATTAGGCAACCTGAAAGCTGGTGTTAAACCAGCAGCATGGGCTGAGCGTCTTGGAGCTTGCTTTACTAGAACTGTTCTTGAAAATGATCTACTAAATATTCACACTAGCCAATGTGTCATGATCCTGTTAGAGCTAAACAAACAAACACCAAACATGCTTATTATGTGTCACATAAAGCCTGTGAGGAATATCACCAACATCCTCCTTTTGTGCAATGTCACATTAGGCTTGTAATCTTTTCTTCCATTTAGTTATATCGTCAGCAGCATGACGATGGAGGTGATGGCAGTGACGCAAGAGCTTGCCTAGCTTGAAACACAAAAATACACCCGCATGTGTATACTCAGTGATTCAATGAGTATGATCCGGAGAGTTCAGGCAGGTTCAGTGCGAAGACAATGGCTTGAATCATTACAGAAGTCCACTGTGCGTGGAGTCACCTTTATTTTTGTTCCGGGACACGCAGGTGTCGATGGAAATGAAAGAGCTGACAGGTTGGCTGGATCCGCTATCACTACCGACGGTCAGCCTATGGATCATGCTGATATTATCAATGCCCTCAGAGAAATGGGAAGGATAGAGGACTTTGGTGGCAGTGAATCCACATCACTCGCCAGAATGGCAGACTTGGGAATTAAGATCGGCACAGCAAAAAACGAGACGCACACCAGACACGCCAGAAGACTTGTTAATCAACATAGAACTGGTACTATTAGCCATCGGATGTTGGGGTTCATACTGAGGGGAGGATCTGAGCACCTATGGACATGTCCAGAGTGCAATGAGGATAACCCAAACAACTAACTAACTAACTAACTAAGTTATATCCTAATCAAAATCCTTCCTTATCATGGATTGAACACAGTCCTGTCGCGCGCCCACGTGGGTAAATACACTGATATAGTGAGGGTGTGGGTTTGAACCTTAACAATGCCCACCCACGTGAGAAACTGGACTATTATCTAAGCTATGTTGATCCTAGACAGTCCTGGATAGCCAAGAAAACAGCGAGTGGCTCGTTCCATGAAATGAAAGTTGCTGTACTTGTATCCACAGGAGTAGGAGAAGGGATAGATAGATTTCTGGATACACCCACTATGAAATAATCCAGGTGCTCATTTAACCCCTCCGACTGCTCTCCTCTCCTGGCATTACTTAAAAGCCCCCATCAAGTGATTTAAATATTTGTTAGCTGAAGTAAACTAATATGCACAAAGACACTTGAACCTAAGTACACAATTTACTTAACTCTGTTTAAACATCAAAAAGATTTATTTAATAAATCTGACTAAAATAAAATGAACTTGTTTAGGCTAGTAGAGTTGGGATGATGTTATAGATGACATTAAAGTTGTACATAACTTAGCTCATCAGGACAGTTCTCGGCTTGAGACCCTGCCTATCTTTTCCAGTTTGTCGTCCTCACTGCTTTCTGCAGGTCGTTACACTCGGCGGTCGGCAAATAATGGATGCCTACTAGTCCCTGCCCAATGTGGGAACTGGAGAATGAAGAAACAAGCGCATATTTGTAGTATCTGCTCTAGATGTACACTAAGCATGTATATTATACTAACATCAAGCATGTTTATTTAAATAAAACATTTCATCTCTCCCTCATGCTCACA